CTCCTTCAGCATCCATACCACCAGTGAGGTCTACATCCCAGCAGACACCTTAGTCCCCATATCTATACCATCAATGATAACGGCATTCCAGCCTATGCACCTCACTTCCCGGTATCTGTGCAGTTGGTGAGATTTGCTATGTCATTCACTAGCAAGTACTATAGATAGAAGTCTCACCTTACCCTTAACATAACCTATCCTGCTTTGTGGAGGAGGAAATGGTGTCACTTGCTCAAAGGAGAATCGTACAGGGCTGCAACAACTAATCCATTCGATAATGAGAATAGTTGCCAACGATTCTCATTATCGATTAGTTGGAGGGAGAAAGAGAGAGTTTTGTTGTCTTGTGTTTTTTTTTTTTTTTTAATACAACCAATCGATTAATTGAAAAAGTAATCGGGCAAATAATTATGAAAATAATTGTTAGCTGCAACTCTAGAATCGTATACGAATATTTTATATTTATCACTTTTAGCCAGCAGGTAGTGAGCTTTCATGTCTAGTTTTACTTTTACAGTCAAGTTTGAGAAAACCCCAGTACATTCACACAGCATACCTAAAAATAATTTTAAAAAATATATTTCCTAACTTTTAGCTGTTTCTTTGAAGAAAAATTCTCCAATTGTCTCCGAATATTCGCAGTGGTTCACCTGCGCATACAAAGGAAATTCCAATATTATTATCTTGTCGATATGTTTATTTGTGGAATGTCATGTCCTCAGAAGCTAACGTTTTGGGACCTCACAGGGACCCTTCATGAGAGCGACATAAGTGATTCAATGGAGCTCACTTTCCAGTTCAGATATGTTGTCCTAGATTGTTCAGTTCTCCTGTCTTTTCCAAACTCTTCACCCTTTAGTAATTCACCCCCTATAGTGTCAGGCTGAGCTTTCTCTCTTTAACACACACTGCCTTGTAGGCTTTAACCTTTTTGGTAGGACAGATAGTGCTCAAATCTAGGGGCGCCTTTCCTAGTGCAGATTTGTTTAATCCAATAAAATCATCAAGAATGTACAAACGGGTACTCGCAAAGTAGAACAGTACATGGATCCGTGTAGAGCGTCCTGTATGAGAATCACTGTAGCGTCAACGCGTTTCCGGGCCACGCCCCCTTCATCAGGACGTGCTGATGCTCATATGCTCAGTACTCCTCCCTTGTGTGAGGGTTAAGGATTGCCCTTTGGCGCTTCTAAAACCAATAAACAATAAATCTAGTTTACAACTGATGATGAAATCTGCCACCTCAGGACAGATAGGGTTATTAAGAGTAAACATAACTTCACACAACCACCTTCACTTTATTGGGAGGGGGAAACGTTGGGCAAGGTAGGATTTTAAGCAAGTATAAAGCACCTAAAAAGATGAGCTGCAATTTTTGTTTGCTATGCTATGTGAATGGCAACATATAAGAAACATAAAATAGGTGTTCTCCCAATTTGGCTGCAAAAGTGGAAATACACTTTTAAATGTTTGTAAAGAGACCTAAATGGCATGAAATCTAATTAAATACAGCTAAACAAGTCATGGGAGGAGCACACCCTCTTCCTTCTGTGCCAACAGATACAGATCCCTATGGATTTTTAGTTTGAGATAGTCATCAAGTGCAATGGCGGTCCTGGGCTTTCTTATTAGAAAGCCCTACATTCTTTGCAAAAGGTGCCGTGGAACCACCCTGGTTTTAAATGTTAAATAAAATGGCAAGTCATAAAAACAGGGGTCTACTGTATATACTTGTGAACTGTAAAAAAAAAAAAAAGTATATAATATTCTTTGAAAGCATATATTTTTAGAACGCAAATTAGGTCAATTTTGATGGTTTCTTTCACATAGGACCTGAACACTTGTGAGTTTGAGAAAAACCAACTGGCTGATGAGCTAGAGATTAAAAAAGAAGAAAGTCGCAAGTTTGAATCCCTCCTGAACCACTTGGAGAATGAAAAGCAGCGTTTTTCTAACAAATTTGAAAAACAGATGGTGACAGGTGGGCCCATTAAGGCATTATTTGTATATTCATTACATGTTCATATTCTGTACAACAAGATATATGTTTTGCTGTTTTCAGAACGAGAGCTCGTGCTGGAAGTAGAGAGGATGAGGACACACTATGGTATTTTGCGTACTGATCGCTCACCTTCTAGGCTGGACTCTTTTGTCAAGACTTTAGAAGAAGAACGGAATCATTATAAAGCAGAGCTGGAGAAACTGGAAAGAACACTTGATCTAAGAGCCAGCTCCCGAAACCTTTCCAGGCTGGAGAGCAGCAGAAGGCACAGCTCCCCAGACAAGGTATTTGATATTATGCCACTTGAGCTGTGCAAACTGATACAAAACACAGCATATTTTACTGTGGTTATTTAGTCAACAAGCAATCATGTTCATAACATTTAGCAGATAATTGTGAAGTCATTGTTAAGTTGAAACACGCAATTGTTTGAAGTAGGCTTATTTCACTTCCATGTATTTTGGAGAAGCTGCCGCACAATCTTTGTGTGAATTTGGATGCAATAATCTAAAGCTGCAAGGCTAAGCTTTTCAGCCCTTGGTTATGGTAGCTGTATTAGATTCCTTATTCAGGTTTATTTTCACCTGGTGAGCTTGCCAGTAACATGTGTTTATATCCTACGGTGACAATACTCACTTACAGTAATGTATCGATGAAGGAGCAGCATTGTCACCTACTGCTCTTCTCATTGGGACCTCATCTCCATTGCACGAGGGCTCTGTATTTCACAGAAGAGATTTGGGGCAGCTGATAACACTGTATGATTTTGATTCAGTACACAGGAAGTTACAAGGACACAATTTCTAGCAAGATAATTTTACAGGTATTTTTCTGCACTTTCCGAAATGTTCTTAGCCTGAAAAATAAAACCTAATGCAGCAACCACATCTAAGTTTGGTAGTCATTAATTTATTATATTTTTTGTTTGCGTTAGAAAACCTTTTATTCAGAAATTCTACTATAGTCAAACATAATATTTATTTTCACTTTTGTGTGTCCAATAATTTTTTACATTCTCTTCTTTCCAGAGCACAGGGAACCATTCCGATCTTTGGCGAGTCACCAGGGAAAGAGATGAGCTGCAGGAGATGTTGGATAGGTTTGAAAAGCACATGGTCGAGATTCAGTCCAATGTAAAAGTACTAACAATGGAAAGGGACAGGTTCCGTGGGCTTTATGAGCAGGTAGTCACCATAAAAGTCCATTTTACAGTCCTTTTGATTTGCATATTTTTTTATTTTTTTTTTAGTGACGGCAGCTCTGAGAGTAAGGCAAACCATTCCTCCTATAGACTTTTTCATCTCTATCTTCAATGCACAGATGATATTTACATTCCCATCACAGTAATGGACCAATAGTAACTTCCATGGAGGGAACCTCCACAGATTTTAGTATCTCTAGTAAAGGAAATCATTTCGTAGCTAATTGTTTGTACTTTCTATGTGTGTGCTGAGTATTTCTGTGCAGGTCATGTATGTATTTCAGATCTAACATTAATTTTCAGGTCCAGAATGACCTGGTCACGGCAAAGCAAGATCTTTCTCCTCTGCGCAAAAGCAACACTTCTGTGAAAGAACTGCTCCATCTAGAGGAAGAAAGAAATCTAATCAAGTCTGACTTGCATAGAGTTCAAGAGGAAAATGAAAGTCTCAGGGACAGAATAAAGGTATGTATTCAAGAATTACCTAAATCTGTGTTCACTTTTACTACATAATCATGTGTAAAAAAAAAAAAAAAAAGAAATGCTTGTACATGATTGGATAATTGAAGTGAATACACCTTTCCCTTATTCACGAAGTTAAGTGGGTATAAATTTCGCAAAGTGAACATTGTCTGTTCCTTTCGAAAATAACTGGTATTATTATTCTAATCTAACCTTTTTCTTGAAACCACGGCTAGGTCAGCTTTAATTTAGTTCGAGTCAGCTGGCTCATGGGTGTCCAAGAGAGAAGATCTCCAATGCTTGGCATTACTCCCGTAACAAAAAGGTTTCTGTTTTTTTGTGGCCAAGCAATTGGAAGTGGAGAACATCTCAAATACTCCATTTAAAACATCTCAAAATCAGATATACAGTATATTATATTATACAGGATTTGTATATCTCCAACAGTTTGCACAGTGCTTTACAATATAAGCAAGTCGTTCTAGTACAATTCAAGACTAGATAGATGGATAGAACGAACAGTGAAGGAAGGCATTTAACAGAGTATGTTGAACAAGGTAAATTGGTCTCCTCTCCAAATTCCCCCCCAAAAAATGTTTTCAGGACTTGACTAGACTACATCTATAATTAAACTGCTTGAACAGCTTTTTTTTTTTCCAGGTGCAGAATGAGACATTAACAACGGAAAGGTTCAGACTTGCTCAAAAGATTGATGACTTTGAAAGCTCAATACAGATGGTGAGTAGTGGTTTTTCTTTCTTGTATTGGTTAAAGTGTACCTGCAATACTGTAAAAGGGGCAATCTTGAAGGAAGCTATACTCTTTTTAGATATACAAAGATTACCTAATTAAAAGGGCTTTTTAGCAATGCTCACTTTTTTTTATTTCAATAAATCTTTATTGGATTTTAAAAATGAGTAAGTACAATATAATGGAACAACAAGGTACAGAACACCATCAAAAGTCAGCTGGTTTGACACTGCAATACAAATATAAGAGTAAACATATGTGATGGTGGTTGGGGAAGGGAAGGACACAGTGAACACAAAAAGAAACCAATCAGTCACAGGGTACAATATGGCTTCTGAAGCCATTGAGAACATTGGTTATAAAATATCACATATTATTTTTATAAGAGAACATACGTTCATAAGAACATTGTAGGTTTGTCAATTGAATAACTTCTGAGAGGTTAGGAGGCGACCGGTGAGAGCCATTTTTGGGCTATTAATATTTTGGCTGCATACAGTATGTGTATGATAATAGTTCTAGAAGAGGAAGGGAATACATTCAGCCCAATGTGGAGAAGCACTAAGTGTATGGATGGGGTTATGTTACCTGATAAAATTGGGATATAGGTTGGAAAACCTGATTCCAAAAAGATTGCAACAATGTACATTGCCAGAAAATATGCACCAGGGATCCTACCTCACCACATATTCGCCAGCAATGAGGGGAATTTGTGCTGGAGAATTTCGCTAACTTATAAGGGGTATGGTACCACCGGTGGATCAGTTTGTAGAAGGCTTCCCAGTGTGAGGAGCAATGCGTGGCTTTGTAGGAGATCCGGATAGCTTGTTCCCAATCAATGCTCACTTTTTAATATCGGACATACTCTGGCTGCATTCAAATTTTTACAGTAGCAGACTACACCTCTATGTTAAATGCAAGCATTACGTTGTTTTGTGTGCTTGGTTTTTATGTTAATGCCCCAATATATGTGTGCAACAGTGGTATCATAGCAGAATATGCTTCATATTAAATACTGTATTATAGGCTCCAGTCATACATAGCGGTAGCATTTTCCGCGCAGATTCCGCATGTTTGCGGCTATTACTATAACAGATGTGGAATCCGCCCATAAAATCGTGCTTGTAGACTTCTCCTTGCACAAAAGTTAGTTGCCTGGCTGTCATGCTGCTCTCAACTGTCTCTAGCCTGGCACAATCATTCAGTGAATTTAATGATGGACATACTTGTACAAGGTCAGTGGCTTTGAAAGTATTGAAGACCGTAAATCAGAACAAGAGAGGCTCTCCCTTCCTTTTTTTTTTTTTAGGAGGAATTCAGTAATGGCAGCTCCCATATACCTCCTAAGGAAAGTTACTTTTAAGTCTCTATGGTGTGGAGAGAAGTTGGTTGCCTAGGTCATTCATAGCCAAGCATGCATATATTTGGCGCATTGTGGGACAACAGCCAACACTTTCAAAAACAAAATTTAGTATTAAGAATTCAGTATGAACAGTCTTGTCCTGCCTACTAGGGAGGCACCAATGCCGTTTTTTTGATATAGAGTACCGAGTCCAGATACCGGTCATCGTATTTGCTTAATTTTTTTTTAGTGACGGCAGCTCTGAGAGTAAGGCAAACCATTCCTCTGTAGACTTTTTCATCTCTAATGCAGTACTCGCCCAAATACTCGGTATCAGCACCGATACTAGTATAGTTATCGGTGCATCCCTACTGCCTACAATCAAACATCTTAGTATTCTTGGAGGTAGCTTTAACAGAGCCTGCAACATGGAGTTAATAACAGTGGAGTTTGAGGGGGCCCTACAGTATGTGTTTATCTTTCTGCATGTAAGTATTGGTATTGTGAATCTGATCACTTATGTCTACCTTATTTTCATCACGGAGACATTTAAGAAATTTCATTTTTCAACTTTTTTTTAATTTGATTTCTTAGTTGGAAACTGAACGGTCTGAATTAAAAGCCACTATATCTGAGCTGAAGGAAACTATATCATCTTTAGAAAATGTAAATCGATCACACTGTGTGAATTTGGCTCAAACCCTGGATGACTCTTCACAGTATAAAGTTGAACTGAGCTCTCTAAGGTTAGTGGCAGATTGGATTAGAATGTTGGTGACTAAAATGATACTGTATGCCACAAATGCATGTATACTGCCACTTATCACTGTTTATGTTCTGCAATATAGGTTACTTAATGAACAACTTCATATATGTTCTGCAATATAGGTTACTTAATGAACAACTTCATAAATCTTTGGAAGATCTCCAACATCGCCTCACTGTAAAATCCAATGAGCTACAGTTATCTCAGGAAGAGATTGCAACACTGGAGGAAAGAATAGGTAACCATGTACACTGTATAAACTATCCCTTACAGATCCCAGGACAGACTATGTTCTGACAGCTTGGCAAAAGTATTTGATACGCTGCACCCAAGTCCTGAATTGAGTCACCCTTCTAAAAGAACGGATGCTGAACCCCAGCAGACGTGACCTCATTCCCTGATATGTTTCACCCACAAGGCTGGGCTTAATCATAGAGGTACCTCCTACAATAAGTCTAGCCTTGTAAGTGAAATGCGTCAGTTGATGAGGTCCTACGCTTGAGTGCAGCTGGCTTTTTCCTTTTGAAGCATTTTAACAGCTGTCTGAGTGCAAATACAAAGCCATTTTTATAGTGGTTGGGGTAAATGATAAACAAAATGATTTCCTATAGGTCGGAAGGAACTTTGATCATGGGGTAAGTTGAAGATATTGTCTACAATGCTGTCTTGCAGCAAAACCCAGACTATTCATTTTTCAGTAGCAGTCATCTATGAACTCCCTTCACTGCAAAATGTAATATCCTGATTAGTCAAGTGATGGTTACAAGCATCCAAAGCTAGCTAATTGTCTCAAGGACAGAAGGAAAAAATCTCCGGCTTAACTCTTAACAGGAATCTTCATGTCTAAATTATCTTAAAGGAAATAGAAACCCAGTTACTACAATTTCATATGATCTTTAATATGTTGATGTAATTTTAATTGTTTTATATCATAAGCTTTAATTAAATACCTAGTGCAGCCATGTAGACAGGAAGTGGCTCCCGGAGATCGGCAGTGCTGACCTAAAAAAGGGTGAAAAAAGGTGTGACAGCATTTTTCTAAAAGGAACTGGCAATTGTTTGATACGCAGCCTAAATGTCATCCCGCTGGGTTTTTCAGCTTTTAATTATGGGTTGGAACATTTTACACTTTCAGTAGCATTTGTCGGAAACTGGAGCTGTAGTTTTCATCTACAGAATGAAAATATTTTTATACCTTTTCAGCCATATCAACTAGTTAATTCTTGACATGAATTCATTTTGTTTTATTGCAAAGGTGAATTAAATCAGAAGGTATCTGCACAAGCCTCCGAAATGGCCATGCTTAGAAACACAGTTTCTGTGCTGGACAAAGAGAAAGACGAACTCCAGGAAAGTGTAGATGAGAAGACTGAGCGTGTTGCCTGCCTGGATGATAACCTGGAAAATAAGGTATATAGTGTGGATTAGGGATGTCTGTATACCTGTTACCATTCTGTAGTTGTTAATTGAATAAGGGAAATGGGGTGGATTTACTGAAGTAGAGTCTATTCACTTTGCAAAATGACCATTTACTGAACTTTGGTATATAAGGTGGAGCTTTGTTTTGCCTTGAGTGCCTGATCATGGGGGAGGGGGGAAGAAAGTGGGATTTTTTTTTTTTTTAAATGATTGGGTGATTGACGTGAACACAGCTTTACCATCTTTACTAAGCTTTGTGAACATTCACTTTGTTCAGTGTATATTCACTCTATGTGAATGGTCTCTAATCTTGTAGACAGTCTCAAATCCAATGAGAGTGCATTTGTCTTAATCGACAAGGGCTGGTGGGTACGCACTGTTGATGGGCATCATTTAATTTTGTCATGTTCTGTAGTGCTGATAATTTGATGCAAATTAATCAGACAAAAAAACTTTAATTTTTTTGTAACATTGTAATATTACTTCTTATGATGCAACAATATTTATAATATTCATTGCCATGATGGTGAAGACTTAGGTTAGACCTATGGTTTTTTGGTTAAGGTTTGTGCCTAAAGGAATGCGGTGTGTGCGCAACAGAGGCACTATAATGCCAATACACCGTAGTTGTAGATGCAGGAAAATGTTCCCTTGCATCAAAGCCCAGACTTTTGCAGGGCCATTATCAAGGTGACAAACCAAAAGAATACCAAAACCAGGTTAAATTATGGAGTAGGTTGAAAATAGGGGTTTTGTTGGGATTAGCAAATGGTAAGGGATTTCTGACTTTTTCAGATTAATTACCGTATTTTGCGGTCCATAAGACGCACCGGACCATAGGACGCAGGGAGGTCCGGCGCGCCTTATGGAGCACTCGACAGACTGTAGCTTCTGACACAGCTTCTATGACAGAAGCTGCAGTTAGTGACCGCTGAGACAGGTGGCGCTGTGATTACACGCCACGGTCTCAGTGATCACACAGAGCAGACGAAGAAAGTCTGTTCTTCGTCTGCTCTATGGTGATCTCCATCGTCGCCGCTGCTCGGTTTTAATACGAGTGATCTCATTAGATCACTCGTATTAAACGAGCAGTAGCTCCTACTGCTGAATACGATCGCCGCCGCCGCTGCTCGGCTTTAATACGAGTGATCTCATTAGATCACTCGTATTAAACGAGCAGTAGCTCCTACTGCTGAATACGATCGCCGCCGCCGCTGCTCGGCTTTAATACGAGTGATCTCATTAGATCACTCGTATTAAACGAGCAGTGGCTCCTACTACTCGCCCGGTGCCCGAAACTGCATGTCTCGGGCGTCGGGATTCGCTCCATAAGACGCAGGCACATTTTCCCCCTCCTTCTTATGGAGCGAAAAATACGGTAATTAATTATAGGTTTGTGAGTTTTATAAGTATAACATACAATGGGGGAATTTATCACAACTGGAGCACAAAAAATCTGGAGCAGTTGTGCATGGCAACCAATCTGCTTGGTTGCCATGTACAGCTGCTCCAGATTTTGTCTTCTCCAGTTTTGATAAATTCCCCTCAATGTATGTAGTATGTTATCCTTGCTAAAAGAAAACAGGAAAATTGTATTTCATACTTACCGCAATTTTCCTTTCCTGACTAGCTCCATGGCAGCACACAAATGGGATGGCCCTCGCCTCCCTACCAATTTGATAGGACGCTTAACTCATAAATTTGAGCAACCCCCAGCCATCAGCATTGCGTTACTAGCAACTCCGACCGGGCGGGAAGATTTTGTGCTGCCATGGAGCTAGTCAGGAAAGGAAAATTGCGCTAAGTATGAAATACAACTTTCCTGTTTTCCATGACTGCTCCATGGCAGCACACAAATGGGAAATAACTAGACACACAAGGGAGGGTAATGCAAAAGGAGGAGATTTATCATGTATCATGTACAGAAGCCGAAGAAGCAACAACCCAACGACCAAATTCCACTGTGGTTAGTGCAGTGGGTTCAATGCAATAATGCCTCATGAACGTGTGTATTGAGGACTAAGTAGCTGCTTTTTAGATGGTCTCAGGCAAAACATGGCTTGCTGCTGCCCAGGAAGCTGAAACGCACGTCGAATGCGCTGTAGACGATTTAGGAGCTGCCAACCCCTTAGAACCGTATGACATGGTTATCGTTTTCACCAACCAAGAGGCAATAGTTCTGGTGGACGCTTTGCAGCCTTTCTTTGATCCAGCCGGGATAACAAACATATGATCAGTCGATCTGATCCCTTCTGTAGCCGTCGGGTATGACCTTACAGAATTTCCCACATGTAATCTGGCTATCCGGTCATCAGGGTCCGAAGTGAGGTTAGATGCTGAAGATTAAATCTAGAGGCCATCTTTGGCACAAATCCCAACACGGGGGATTAGGACAACTTGGTCAGCAAGAAAAACAGTAAATGGTTCATGCATCCGAGGGCCGCGATCTCAGACACTCTCTTGGCTGAGGAGAGAGCCACGAGAAAAGCCGTCTTCAAGGTTAGGTACCAGAGAGATGCCTGTCCTCCAAAAACATCCGAGGCTAGGAAATCTTGGACCATAGGAACCATAGGATCCCACTTGGAAAACAGCGGCTTCCTGGGAGGTTTAATACACACCACCGCCTTGAAGAACTTAACAATCAAGGGATCAGCGCCCCACTGAGTTCCAGAGAAGGCTGACAGAGCCGATATATGGCCTTTAAGTGTGCTGGAGCTGAGATTCAACTACAGACCTCTTTGCAGAAACTCCAGGACGTGAGCAGTCTGGGGAGATTCCGGCGAGAAACTTTGCAAGTCCGCAAAGTCCTTAAACTTGGACCAGATCCTACTGTAGGATCTGTTGGTGCTGACCTTCCGGGCTTTCATTAAAGTGGAAATCACATTCTCCAAGCAGCCTTCCCTCTGCAACCGCCACCTCTCAAGATCCAGGCCATGAGACAGAGCTTCTCGGGTGCTGGATGGATCGATGGACCCTGGGTCAGCAGGTCCTTCTGTAGCGGTAGGGGATAAGGTTCGCCCACCGACAACTCCTGAAGAAGAGGGTACCAGGGTCGTCGCGTCCAATTCGGAATTACTGCTAACACAGTGGCCCTCTCCCTCTGCAGTCTCTTCAGGAAACTGAGAATAAGAGGCACCGGAGGGAAAGCGTATGCTGTCTCGAACTTCCACTCCAGGGTCAGCCCATCCACCCCCACAGCCTGGGGGCACGGAAGCCTTGAACAAAAGACCTGGCAGTTTCGTGTTGGATGGCAATGCAAAGAGATGGATCAGTGGCCGAAAGGCCCGCCTCGACAAACTCCGAAACAGCAGCGGTGAGAGGGACCATTCGTTGTTGTCGAAGCCCATCCGGCAGAGGAAGTCTGCTTGAACATAGGCATGACCTGGTAAATACACAGCTGACAGTAGATTCAGGTTCTCCTGAGCCCAGACCATGATCGGAGAAACGTCCTTCAGGAGTGTGTAGCTGCGAGTTCCGCCCCGTCTCCTGACATACGCCACTGCTGTCCGTATTGTCCATTCTCAGCCTGACGGAGCATCCTGTGAGCAGGGACTTGAACGCCAGGAGAGCCTGAAAGGCTGCCCTGAGTTCCAGGATGTTGGAAACTACCCCCACGGAGGGGGATGGCCATCTCCCGTGGGCTACATGGTCCAGGCAGACTGCTCCCCAACCTTGCTCGCTGGCATGTGATGTGACAATTACCCAGTCTACTGGCATAAGGGAGTGGCAGCACAGAAGGCTGTGCTCTTGGAGGCACCAATTCAAACTCTCCTTCATGGATGAGCTCACCAGGATCTTCTGATGCAGAAGTTCCGTCGACCAGCATTTCAGAAAACCCACTTGGAATTCCCGAGCTCTCCATTGAGCCCACTTCACCATGGGGACTACCGCAATCATCGTGCCGACCACCCGAAGACTTTGTCTGGCAGTCATGAAGGTTGGAGATAGAGCAGCTGCAATACTCTTGCGAATGGCCGGTATTTTTTCCGGAGGCAAAGAGACTGAGGCTCGAGCTGTGTTTTATCCGAGCGCCTAAATAAACCAGGTCTTGAGAAGGCACCAGGGGGCTTTTCTCCACATTGACAAGCCATCCGAAGTTCCTGAAAGGTGAAGGTACAAGATAGCAGCAGCTGACCTTGATCCTGACTGAGCAATAAGACATCGTCCAGGTAGTGATATATTCGCACACTCTGCTCCCAAAAGAATGTCACCAAGGCAAGGAGAACTTTCGCGAAAATCCGCGGAGACGTCAGGCCAAACGGCAGGCAGACAAATTGTAGGTGAAGGCTTGCCACCGCAAAACGCAGAAACTGGTGATAGGGCGGGTGCACAGGAACATGATAATAAGCTTTTTTTTTAAATCTATCGATAACAGCCAATCCTGTGGTCGTCCAATTTTTAGGATGGTTTGCAGGGATTCCATCTTGAAACGCTCTTTCAGGATATGATTGTTGAGATGCTGGAGATCTATGACTGTCCTCTAATCTCCGGTCTTCTTTTGGACCAGAAATAAAGGAGAATAAATCCCCTGTAAGCGATCCGGAGATGGAACTTCCACCACCACCCCCTGTGTGAACAGGGTTTCCATGTAAGCCCACAGGATGTCCCTCTCCTTCATGGAAGACGGAATGTGTGTGGGAATAAACCTCGTGCGTGGAGTCCTGCGAAATCGCCAAGCGTGGCCTTCTGAAATGGTAGAGGTCACCCACCGGTCTTTGATGTGGTCCGCCCAGATCTGTCGGAACCCAGAGAGCCGGGCTACCACGTGGCAAACCTGAGCGGGCAAAATCTCCAAAAGGACGTTTGGGTCCCCTGCCCCGGTTTGGGGGTATTCTTCTTGGTGTTGGCACCTTTGGCGTTCCTCCAAGGCCTGCGGAATTCCTTACCAGGTCTGTAAGAATGTGAGTCTTTAAAAGAAGTTTGCGCAGCACCTTTTGAAGTGTGGGTTCTTCTGATGCAATAGCCGTCTATCCTGCGTAATAAAGCTGGATTTACCACCCGTTGCCTTGGCGATAGCGGACTCCAACTTGTTCCTGAAGAGGGATTGCCCCTCGAAAGGGATTTTGCACCATCCCTGCTTTTGAAGTGGGGTCGGCTACCCAAGGCCTGAGCCAGAGGGCCCTTCTACCCGTCACCGAGTGGAGCATGATTCTCGCCATTGAGCGGACCAGATCAATCGTTGCTACTACTATAAAGGCCGAGGCAAGCTTTACATGTCTCAGACTGTCCATTATCTCAGGTGTACCGAGATCATCGGATACGGCCAATTCCGTATTAGCGGCCCAAACCTCCAGAGCCTTAGACGTAGCAGGCAGGGCCATGACTGGTTTACAGCCCCCCCGCTGATGTGTAGATCTTTTTCAAATCGAGATCAATGCGTCTGTCCAAGACGTCTCGGAATGAGACTGCCTTGCTAGCCTCATTAAGGCCGCATCCACCACCAGGAATTCATCTAGGTATTTCATCTCTTCCTTTTTGAACGGTACAATATGGAGAAACGATTCCGCAGAGTTGTTTTCCGATCCACCTGCTCCCATTCAGGGAAGCTACCCGCCTCTTTCCTGATGTTTTTGAAGAATCTCCTCTTCTCGTCTGGTTCCGCCGCCTCATCTTCCCAGAGAAGAGCTTGCTTCACTGCTTTGATGAACGGCTGGACCATAGCAAAGTCAAAAACCCCCGACTGCTCCTCATCCTCTGAGGAGTGTTCAGAAGCTGAAGCAAAAGAATCATATGTGGCTCTAGTAGAGGGGTTCACCGCAGGAGGTCTGGCGGTGGATACTGCAGCTGCCGTCTGTTGATCAACCGACTGGGAAGTAGAACCAAAGTCCCGTAAAGACTCCTGGAAGGTTTGTTTCATCAAAGAGATCATCTGCCAGTTATCGCTCTCTCTGTATCTGGCAGCCTCGGGAAAAACAAATGGCACAAGCTGTCTTACCCGGTAGGGCCACACTCTGACAGGTCCAACACTGATCCGACCGAGGGCGACAGCTTCTGGAAGGGTCATTAGTAGTAGAGGAACGTGGCTGTTCACCGGACCGGGGCCTGTCCCGGGACACATGGGAACGACCAGTGGAAGCATATCTGTCCGCAAAGTGAGACAAATGTCTGGAAGAGGATGAGGAATGATCGTAGACAGGCCGAGCTCTGCAGTTTTCTTTGCCCGATCTGGATGGGCTGAAAAAATTCCACAACTTGCCAGTAGCAGAGGAACAAGATAGAACAACACAATCGCAGGAAGTCGCTTACCTTCTTTGTACGCGCTGGTCTTCAGGAGGGGTTGGCAAGTCTGAAGGCATTCTGTGTAACATACATGCAGTCAGAGATATGTGTGAGCAATGTCTCCAGCATCCACAAATCCTCAACGTACCTGAAGAAAGACAGGAGAGCACCAGGCAGCGCAGAACAGCAAGCAGCAGATCCCCTTAAGCAGGAGACCGAACAGCAGCAGCCATCGGTACACACTGCACTAAGAAGGATGCCGAGACCAGCTCCTCCCATCGGCGGCGTCCTAAAGCGCATGACGTCAGGGAGACCGTGGAACAAAACGCTCCAAGCCCTAGACGAGGGAGGAAGCTGTAGCCAGTGGAGCGCAGCCTGCGTTCCAACCACCGCCAGTAAAGCGCCGTCTCGTATACCAGCAGCGAGGCTACCCCATCACAGCCATTTAGGCTAAACAGAGGGTCTACACCCATCCGAGCAGACCAGGGTGGACGGCCAGAGGATATTATCTCAGCCAGGTAAGCAACTCCCCACCTCCATCAGTAGTAGGAGGAGAAAAAAAGAGGAACGCTGATGGCTGGGGTTGCTCAAATTTATGAGTTAAATGTCCTATCAGATTGGTAGGGAGGCGGGGCCATCCCATTTGTGTGATGCCATGGAGCTGTCAGGGAAATTTGCATTCCAACATTTCTGGCTGTAAAACCCGCACATCAGAAAAGGAGCCAATTTTCTGAACCTGAAATGTACACGCGTCTTTGCTGCTGCATCAGCGTAGCGTATTATTCACATAATGCGGAAAACTCTGTTATGGGTGACATAGGCCCTTTATTAAATAAGCTGCACGTGGAAGAATAATGGGCCTTTGTCCTGGTTTGACTGCAAAACTGTTCTGATTTTTCTAAGTTTTGACCCTGTGCAATCTCTTGCAGGAAAAAACAATTAGTAACTTGAGGCTCACTCTATCTGAATTGGAGGCCACTGTTGAGTAAGACATTCTATTTTCTATAATTGCTATGGTGTTTTTATATAATTTTGTTTTCTGTTTTAAAGTGGGTGGTATAAGCAATATTTCCTGAGAACTTTGCCATATGTTATTGATCCTTTTTTCCCATATTAGAAGCATGTGAAGAGAGAATTAAAAACAAAAAACATTTTTTGTGGCATATGGATCAATAAAACAAAACCCATAAAATGTATCCCTGTTGCGGATGCATTATCTAACACTCTGCTCATATGAAGAGTTGGCGTATTTAAAGCAAGTGTACACAGAGGACAAACATTGTTTGTAAGCAGTAATAACAAAGCACATCAGTTAGGTTTGGTCAGAGATCAGTTTGCGCCTGGCTTTTTATTCCTCCTTACAAACCATGCGCATGCATCTCAAATATTTGTGTATACTAATCCTTATTTTTAGGGATGCACAGATACTAGTATCGATGCTGATACCGAGTATTTGGGCAAGTACTCGTACTCGCCCAAATGCTCCGATGCCTAGCCCGATACTTCCTGTATCAGGAAGCCGGGCAGCGCGTCATTACACGCTGCCCCGTTTCCTGATTGGCCGGGAAGTGGCTCCATGCTCTCTCGTCACTTGTACAGATAAAAAATGATCTGTACTCGTACCAAAATACCGGTATCGGTGCATCCTTACTTATTTTACTTATTACGCACCAGCCTATTCTGCAATACTTTGCCGAAAACGGTGATCCTTTAATTTACAGTGTGTGTATCCAATAAATTTTTTTTTTTTGATAGTTGTCATCACAACGTGTCCACACTGGAAGATGTGTCCTCAATTCTTGTCCTGGTGACGACTCTAAAATTTTGCTTTTTTTTCATCACTTTGTGGCCATCAAGACAAAACAAAACGTGATTCTCCCCGGCAAGGACATAGATGGCAATAAAAACCTGACCAAGGTTTTAAGCCTTGTCAACTCTAAAACTAAACTCAAAATAAAAAAGTTATACGTAATGTTTAAGTTGTTGTCCCCAAGGAGCGTAAGATTTAATTATACAGCATAAGAGAGACTAAGGCCATTTTGGACAGTGTACAAAAGCAAGGAGGACATACAGAAATACGTGCAAATATTATCCCTGATGGGAATTGCACTAAGGACCCTATTGCTATACAGCTACAGTGCAAACAAAGCCACCAGCCTGTCTGGTTGAAGCACCAGTTTTCTGTTGACATTTGTAGGAAGATCATGTCACTGCCTCTACAATTAAAAGATGGAAGTCAGCATTTTGTGGCTTTATACACATGAATCATAAGACCTCAGCCTTGCTCCTATTGTTCAAGATCTTTAATTAACCATCATGTACTAGTTTCCTTGCTTGCATCTCTCCCTTTTGTTTTGTGCTGTAAAATCTGAGGGGAATCGCATTTGGTTGCATTTTACTAGAAATTCAGATCTTTGCTTCTTCTTATGAATCTACAAGATGTGATTAGTTAACCTGTTTCAAACTATGTTTACATGTGAATTATCTTTTGATTGTTAGCCAGTTGAAAGACTCCATTAGTAACAAAGATCGGGAGTTATTAAGCCTCCGCCGGCAGCTTGATTCCGTCATTGCTGAGCTTTCAGAAAATGTTAGACTGAGAGAAATTTCCCTGAAGGAGAATAGAAGATTGCAGGATGACCTTGCCACCATGACCAGAGAGAATCAGGTACCCGAAGTTATAGTTTATTTCCTGTGCTGTCAGCACTGCCTACCTTACTCTGCCTTTTGGAAGTACCAAGCATTTTAACTTATTTGTGTACCTATTAATATCATGCTCCATTGTCGCTTACATTACAGATTACAGAAAGAGTGTACATATAGATGCATGTTTAGTTGTATTTCCTGCTTTAATGGGCTTTGGTGCCACCCTAAAATCCCCTTTTCCCAGTAGCAGGCTGAAGATGAAGATCCCTGCTCTGTTTCCAGAGCTCAAATATGCCCCTTGCATAGTCACATTCACTGCTCTCCAGTTACCAACAATCACTCTCCACCCTTTTTTTTTTTTTAATACCACATTGTAATTTTTTTTCTAGCTTTGGACATACCACTGTACCAGAAAATAAAAATAACTGTACTGTTTAGTGATTCACCTTCTCATTTCTCTAGACAGTTGCTTTGGAGTTAGAAAATGCAATGCATGAAAAAGAAGAATTAAGGCTAAGAGTTCATGGCTATATCTCGGAGGTTGCCAGAATTGAGGCATTAATGGCAGCCAAGGTCAGTACATGTTCTTTATTTCACTGATAACTCCCATAATTCTAGCTATACAGCAGCATTCTGATAATAGATGGTGGTTCCTCAAAACTAAATTTGTGTTGCGTGATAGAAAATCTCTTTACAGGAGGTTATTGCTCAAATGTGCTCTATTGTAAAGCTTTCCATATACCTGCAAAGTGGGCTTTCCTTGTCTTATTATTCTTGGTGGTTTCATGTAAAAAGTAATGGCTGTCTTATGAATAAATTAGACATTCAGGGACATAAGACTACCATATTATACATGGGACAGTGGATATGGTTGTTTGTAAGCCGCATTGATGCTCCATATATTTCATCCAGTTCAAATGATATCCATCCAGAAACTGCATTAGAGAATCAGTTGAATGCCTTACACATACCAATTTAGTGCCCATGTCTAAAATGGATCTCTGCAGGTAATCTAGATGTGTGGGTACGTTATTGATTTGTTAAAGAGAAAGTGTAGTTGCAACCCATTTTTAGAGTTTTAATTTAATAAATGTGTAAAATAAAGATTATATAAATACAAAGACATGCTTGCCAGCCCATGGGTGATCAATACCATCATCTACCACACAACAACTATTTTCATTCTCTTTCCACCCACAGCCTACATCTGGTCAGGGTGGTAATGGATTTTTATTTTATTCTTCATGAGTTTTCTCCTAAACTTCAACCATACATGTAAAACAAGAAGGTGTTTTAACCCCTTCATGACTGAGGCCTTTTTTTCATTTTTTGTACCCATGTTATATTCCACATTTTAGGCCTGAAAATTACTTAAAACCCCCCAACATTATATATTTTCTGAATGCCAAGACCCTATAGAATAAAATGGTGGTAGTTGCAAATTTTTATGTTGCGCAATATTAGCGCAACTCCTTATTAAACCCCAATATTTAGTGAAAAATTTAATTAAATGCCCCAAAACACAACAAAATACCCATTTTTTAATGAAATATAAAAGATGAGGTTACAACGAGTAAAACGATACCCAACATGCCCAGGTTACAAATTGCGTGCGACCGTAAAACGGCGAAAAACCCCAGTACCCCAAAAAGTCCATAGACGCTTTAAAAGCCCCCACAGGTCATCAATTTAGAGATACCCCAAAATACTGAAGCGATCTGGCGACAGGTAAGTCGCCAGGATCGCTTCTGTTGTAAAGCCGACAGTCGGCTCTACAAGTTTAAACAGAGTCCCGGCGGCAAAAGTCACCGGGAGTCTGTTTAAACAGCCCCGATGCTGGCGACGTACACTGTACGTCGTCAGTCACGAAGGGGTTAAACAGCCCATCTACACAGGCTTTCTGTGTAACAGAGGATATGTTTTAAAGGTATTGTCAGTCAGAAAGAAAAATGAAGCCCAGTAATGCATAGAGAGAACACATCCTACCCAGATCTTTTGTTCCCTATTAGGGTATATAGTAACTGTATTATGCAGGTTGCCCCACTGCTTGAAGTGTATTTTCACTTTTGCAGCCTAATTGGTATATCACCTATTTTATATTTGTTTCATGTTCCCAAATCACATCGCATAAGCTTAAAAAAAAAAAATGCTTCTTGCACTTTAAATTGCTTTTTACTTGCTAAAATATCTACATTGTTTCTTTCTTTGTAAGGTTAGGAGGACCTGTAAGGGTTTATGTTAACCCTGTCTGTACTGTGCTGGCTCAGTATAATTTGTAAGATAGATTTGAACACTGTCCTAACAAAGGGTTAAAGGTTTAAAAGCTTGGCTTCTGCATTGTGTGTTAGAGAGAAATGTATTCCACACAGTTCTGCCCTCTGTCTTTCTATAAGGAATGGTTACTGTGAAGGTGCTCAGAAAATGAAAACCTGATGATTTGGATTTGGCCATTTTGCCTGCTGCAACAAAACATGTAAACTTTTATGTTTAAAAAAATATTTTCTCTATTATCCATTGAGGGACACAGCTCTGAAGAATTCTGAAACGTAGGGTTATGCTACTGCCTTCAGGAGACATGGACACTAGGCAAAACATCTAAAGCATGTTGCTTTAAAAGTAATAACCCCTCCCACCTCAGACCTGCCAGTTTCGCTTAGTGTCCTCAGGAGAATGTCTGTCTACTTCTCTTCTGTTTTTTAGTTTGATTTGTATGTTCTGTGAGATTCTACTATCAAGGGCTGCTTGTTAATTCATACCAGATGATAATAATATTAAATCCTAGAATTATTTCTAGCTAGCTGACGGAACTGAGAGATTCATGCCGGATAAGTTAAATCCTGGAGGTTTCTCTAGTTGCCATGAAGCGGGTCGTTTCTAGTCTCTACTAATGATTCGTCCTGTGGTGGTCCGGAGTTTCAATGGTCATCTCCTCATTTAAAGAGCGTAGGCCTTCCCAGATCCTTCCTGCATTGGTCCTATGTTTCTATATCTGATTAGGTATTTCAGCTTTTATTATTATTCACCCCTCATCTCACACAGCTGCGAGACTCCAGTGGCATTAAGAAGCAGACACAGACTCTGAGGGAAGAAGGAGGTGGGGATTAACTCTGCTGTATATGGCCTAGAGGCTTTGCATCTTTATCGTGCTGCAGAAAGTGGCATTTGTGGGGTTTTTAATGGTGTGTTTTTTGTTTTTGTTTTTTTATATCTTTCTCCTGTTACTTTACACCGGTTTGGGGTCATGAGTATTCTTGTAAAAAAGTCCCATTTAAAGGTACATTGCCCGTTACATTTATCTATTATATATTATGTAGTAGGGACAACTACGCTAGAACATCTGGCGGTGTCTGTGTGTTCTACCTGTAAGGTGGAGATTACCAAAGGGAAAGATTGCGTTACTTGTGTTTTCTTTGTATATTGATTCCTCTTCCCCCATTTCTCACAAAAGATAATTGTTCTGAAATTATGGAGGTTTTATCTATCACGGAAAGACAAAAATTGTTTCTCATTACCCTAACAAGGGTGAGAAGTGCCCCTCTCCTATAGGTTCGGATGAGGAAATGCCGGATATTTCTGGTTTTAGCTGGAGCCCTTCCAGCAGATTCTTTATCTGATGATGAATTATTCAGGTCCTTGGATGAGGACGTTACTCCAGCTACTGATTTCCAGTCACCTATGGTGTCTCAACATCAGAAAGAAACTTGCATTTTAAATTGAACCTGCATTTTTTTATAAATTATAGAGGATTCTGCAGTTTCTACCCCTTCGGCAGTACATATTCAAAACTGTATGTGTTTTTTTATAAGGTTTTTTTCTTTTCATTCTTTCTTTGACAGATGTATACGAAGAGTGGGAATCTCTGGATATATGATTTTAGTCAATGTATCCCTTTCAGGATGATTTTGTTTTAGAAAATGATCTGTTCCCCATGAGACTCACTTTCCTGTTTCTTGCCCCTTCATTTAGAGACCCTACTGATAAGATATAGGAAACGCTTTCTCCTTCCATTTACTATTGATGGGATAAGCTTTTCTGCCCCTGTCTGCCACGGTTCTTATTTCCCAGGCTTTATCTACCTGGTCTAAGTCACTGAGTGCTGACCAAGCGGCTGCGATTTTTGACCCATGTTTTTATACTTTACAGTTACAGAGTTTCCCCAGTCATCTTCCAGGACAGCCCATGAGAGAAGGCTCCGCCTGCCTGCAACAGGAAACGCATCAACCACATTAAATAAAAAGACTCCTCCTTCCATTCCAATTCAGTTTTTTTTTGTTTCCTCCGGCTACACAGGGACATCGTAATGTTTGTTATTTTGGGCTCAGGATTTGATTGCCTTAGGGCATGAGCCTGACCCTGCATGTGTTGGGACCACTCCGGGCATAGCCTGCTGCGGCGCATACAGGGTCTTTTCCCCTATCGGACCCCCATCCGAGTTGGCCAAGGTTCCCCTCCGTCGCTCAGGGAGGGAAACCATCCTCCTGACGTGCGTGGCTCCAGACGGTGGCCCCCCCTGGTGTGCAGTGCGGTGAGTCCTAACATGGAGCACCCCCTTGTGAAGTGTGGTTGCCTGTTTACCCCGCTTGTGTTGGGCCGCAGTGCAAACAGGCTGGCAGTTGGCAAAGTGGCTTACCTCGTGTGGTGGATGCAAGGGGTTCCCCCCCTCGAGGGCTGTACCCTCGCCGCAGCACCGCGTGGTGTCTCGCGCGGGAGGGTATCAGCGTCGCCGGCTCACTTGCGGCTGTGGTGGACTCAGGAAGTGAGTCAGAGCCGCATCACAGTGAGGGCGGAAGTGGTCACTGGAAGCAGTGACGCGCTTCCGGTGCCACGGCTCGGGCCGGATCTCCCGGTTGTTGGCGCATAGGCTCTCGCCCAAAAGGGAAGAAGTGTGCCTCTTGCAGTGTCAAAATGTCACCTTCATGGTCCAAACCCTTATGCAAAGTGTGTTCAGAAAAGATGGTAGCCAAAGAATCGGCTGGGATGTTCAAGGGCTTGATAGATTCTATGAGAGAGGAAATGGTTACAACATTTCAATCTTTCCGGTCTGTGCTACAGAGCTCAGTGGGGACGCTGGTGGACACCAGTCTACCAGGAACATCAGGGGAAGGTAGTTCGATGGGCTATGCAGAAAGCTGCTTGAGTGAATCCTCGGGCTCTCATGTGGAGTTGGAGGATCAAGAGTCAGAGGGGGAGTTACATAGCAAAGCTACGAAATTCCTATTCCCTTCATTTGAGACATGTGAGCTGTTGAAGGCCATATGGGATACTTTGGGTATCAAAGAGGAGTCTACGGAGCTTTCGGTTCATGATACACTTTACAAAGGCCTCCAGACTAAGAGAGGGCGTACCTTCCCGGTTCACAAATCACTCTCAGACTTGATCCAGAAGGAGTGGGAGCACCCTGAGAAAATGTTTTTCTCGGCGGGGCACAAGCGCAGGTTTCCATTTGCGGAGGATTCAGGCCTGTGGGGCAAATGCCCGAAAATTGATGCCTCCTTATCGAAGGTCTCTAAAAAGACTGATTTGTCATTTGAAGACATGGGAGCATTGAAGGACCCAATGGACAGGAAAGCGGA